TTTGCATATTATTATTCATTTGTAGGGGATCAAGAGTATGTGCATAGCAAGATAAGGTTTGTCAAAGGATCCAAGCAAGCTTTATTTCTCATCAAGTCATCAGAAGCTGGTCAGAGCTCTTTGAGAAAATGAATGGATGTATGTTGCTTATCCCCTATCTTGGAGGCCAATTGATGATCATCTGAGGATCAAAAGTTCATGTATATGTATATGAGATGTTTTGAAGCTCATTTAATGCTTTGAGATCCATTGTTGAGCTTATGAAAGTTGTTATATCATGTGCAAGAGGTTGCAGTTAAAGGATTGCACACCTAGGGTTTCATCTGCCTAGTGCAAGATCCATTGTGGATTTGAAGGAGATTAACACTTAGTTATAACTCTTTAGAGTAATGGATAGTTGTGTTGGGGCATCTAAGATGTTATTTCAAGATCAATTCAAGAAGAATCAAGAGTGTGAGAAGTTACTAAATTAGGGTTTCAGAGGTTTGTCAGAGTAAAATCCCCTATTTAGTGCTTAACTTCAAGACCACATATCTCAAGATACAAGTGTAATATCACTTTGACATAAACATGAGATTTGTAGAGTATGTTCTTAGCTTTATTTTGAGTACTAGAACTCAAGTTATGATGCTGGCAAGTTAGAGGTCTCAGATGAACCATATTTTCAGTCAACAAAAGTCAACCAAGTTCCAAGGCACTTTTGACTTAGAATCATGTTTCTCCTCAACTTTTGATGAACATGAAAGTTGTTCCTCGTGATCTTAGCTTTCCAAAAAGTCCTAGAAGTCTTTCATCTCATTTGTATAACTCAAGTTATGAAGCTTGCAAGGCAGGGGTATTTTGGGAAAGTGAGATTATAGGTCATTTTCATTATAGGTCCTTTTCATCCACTTATGCACTTCAAATGAAACTTTCTCCAACATGAAAATTGCTCCAAGTGACCTCAATTTCATTCTAGAATCCCTAATTATAATGAATTTGGCAAGGATATGGAGATTGGTGAAGAAATTCAATGGAAAAATGAATTTAAAGTCATGAATTAAATTGAAGTGGTTTTAATTCATTTTCATGCCATATTTGTACTCAAAATCATTCACAATATCTCAATGAGTGAAATACATAAGTTTGTTTTGGTCCATGATGAGAAATGCACGTGCAATTTCAAGTTGCTTCAATAAGAAGTTTCAAATCCAATCTCCACCATTGGATCAAATTAAGGACAAATTTCCATCCACATGATTAAAGCAAGGTCCCAACAACTGATTTGAATCAAAATTAAGGAGAATTGGAGCCAATTTGACGTATGCATGAAGCTCATTTCCAACTTTGGGTATTTTTTCAATTTCACCCTAATCAGGCCAAATTGGGCCTCCAATTGCTTCTAGATCCATAATATAAAAGTTCCAGATGAATTTTGAAGCTTCATTCAGTCATTTTCGTGGAGGGAGAGCTTGATCACAGTTGGAGAATTCAAGAGCACTTTCAAAATCGTGAATCCATATTGAAGCAACTTCAAAGCAAATCAAACCCAAAAACATCTTCCTTGAACTTCCTTGAGTGATTTTGCATAGTTTTGAGCAAGCTTAAGCACGTGAGAAGCTCCAACGGAGAGACTCTGTTAGGTATTCTTCTTTTCCAAAATTCACTCATAATATGTATCCATTCTACGCCATTGTTGTTGCAAACTGAAGACCTACATGTGTAGGAAAATTCTGGATCATTATTTGTGATGTTTGTGATAATTTCAGTTTGATGCTCAAAACTTTGACCGTTCGATTTGCCTTATTTACGCGTGCTAAATGATTTTTGTTTTTGGATTCATGATCTACATAACATGACCTTCATTTTTTAGTATTAAATTTGATGTGATTTGGTGATGTTTTTGACCTGCAACTCTGGCTGTGTGGCCGAAGAAGATGACCGGAGACTGTAGCTCCATTGTCTGGTTTGTCTTTCCGTTTTACTCACTTGACTTGCCACTTGTGTTGTTGACTCTTTGACTGGCTTGGATCAATGGCTGAGATCATGCTGACCAGTACGTGTGGATCTATGACTTGCCATGTTATAAGTGAAACGATGCGTTTCACTTGGCTGAAGGGGAACTGGTCCAAAAGCGCTATTGGCACCCCCTTGTGGATCCAGCCCAGGTTTTTGAACTGTGAAACTTGCTATTTGCCACGCCTGGTTCATTTGTTTTTTTTTTTCATTTTATTCTGTTTTGATTTTAATTCATTAAAAATAATTCCAAATATTATAAAATCCCATAAAAATATTTTTAGGAAATTTTAGAATGTCATTTAGTTTTTGGAAATTTTTATTTTCATTTTTGGCTTATTTTTCAATTTAAAAGGGATTTTCTATTTGGAATGGTTTTTAATGGAACTTTCTTTTATTCTTTCTTGTTCATGCCTTGTTCTTGATCCAATCTTTTTCTCCAACGAATAAGATTCATTCCTCACTTCAATAATGAGTTGAAGGATCTTTGAGGATGAATTTTCCCCTGGTTTGACCATTTTTGGTTTGACTTTGACTTCATATTTGTTGACCCTCGACAACCCTCCTTCAAAGTGGAGCATCCTTGTGAATTAAATTCTTTGATGATGCTTTGAAGTGACTTTGGTTGTAATCTTTTGGCCTCTGGTTTCCAACTCTTTGATGCTTATTTGAGATTTTATTTGGTTATTTTTGAGGTAACTTGCAAGTAAAGTTACTTCTAAGGGAGGTTCATACAAACACTTGACCTAGTTTGAATGGGAAATGACTTCTATGGATCCCTTGAGCTCTCAAATCTTGTTGATTCATACTTCTAACATGTTGAGGTATTTGAATGCTCATTTATAGGTCATAAGCTTGTTCATTGCTTGTTGAGATTGACATTTCTTTTAGGCTTTCCACTTGAAGTTCAAGTGTTGAATGTGCTTAAGACTTAGGTCTTCTTCCATGCCTATTCTTGCATTCTCTTTTGTGCTTTTCATTCTTTGGTTTATGTACCTTCTTCTATCATCTTTGCTTCTGTCCAATGACTTTTGAATCCCATTTTAGATGGTTTAGTCTCTCCTTTGGAGGTACTTGGAACATGTCATGAATGGTGATTCTTTGAGGACTCTTTTGTGCTTTTGTTTGCATAGTCTTGGTGATGCTTTTGGTTGAGTAATATTTATAAGTTCCTTGCTGTCCTCATCTCATCTCCCATGCTCACTTTGTGTTATGTCCTCATCTCTTGTTAGTTTGCCTTTGGGCATTGTGGTTGATGACAAATGGTTGTAGGATTCTTTCTCCCATTTCATCCCACTTTTGTGCACTTGCTTGATCTCTTTTGTATGCATTCTTTCTTCCTTCTTCTTTGCACCTCTCATATGCATGCTTGAGGTTGAGATGTGCTTGTGGAGGCTACTGCCCCACACTTTTTTCCTCCCTCACTTTCATTCTAATTGTGCATTACATGTTTGCATACTTGCATTGTTCTTATCTTTTCACTACAACATTTAGACTCTCTAGCAACCATTCAAAAATGTTGCCAAAACTCTGGAAAATGTTGCCTAAAAGAATAGGGGACGTTTTCTAGGCGACTCCTGTGCGAGCGTTGCCTATTGTCTAAGGGGACATTTTTTCATGATCTTTGGGCACGATTTTTAAAAACGTTGCCTAAACAAAAAGAATAGGGGACGGTTATTTGTGGCCTCTGAGGCAACGCTTTTAAAGTGTTTCCACAAAAGGAATAGGGGACGGTTAATCGTGTCCTCTAAGGCTACACTTTTTAAGTGTTGCTACAAAAGGAATATGGGACGATTATTCGTGGCCTCTTAGGTGATGCTTTTTAAGTGTTGCCAAATGCGGCTACAATTAATAAGTGATTCCTTAAATCTGAATCAAAAGGATTATTTTTAAAGTGTCCCAATAAAATAAGGAGGAATTTTTTTACAGTGTCCCCACCTTTTGAATCAGGAGGATTGTTTTTACAGTGTCCCCATAAAATATACATTTTATAATTATTTTTTAAATAATTTAGTCGATGATGATTGGCTTCAAAAAAATATCGATTATAACTTAAACAAGATCAAATTTAACCATCCACAAATGTTATATTATAATAAAATTAAGTTCAAACATTAATTTAAGATAGTAGTTAGTAAACAAAATGCCTAACGTAACATTACTTATAATAATAATTAAGTTTAATACTTTGAAGTATGACCCTAGCAAAATAGCAAAAAATATAGTTCAAGTTTAATGCTTTCCACTACAAGCAAAAAAAAAAGACATCATCCAACTCATTCAAGTTTGTCTTCTTGAAATTCATCATCCATATCGTCTTCTTGAAATTCATCACATATGTCGTCCTCCAGAAATTCTTTATCTACCTCGTCACCTTGAAATTCACTATCTATATCATCCTCTTGAAATTCATCATCTACATCTATGTCGTCCTCTTGAAATTCATCTCCTGCAACGTCCTCTTGGAATCCATCATCTATGTCGTCCTCTTGAATTTCATCATTTATATCGTCCTTTTCAACATCTTCATTAATACCTTGCTTCATAATAAAATAAAACAAAATACATCACATTTGTTTTTGTAAGATTGAATATCTTCCCAAAACAATTTGCAGAAACAAAACAATTTAATCTTTTATTTTAAAAATGTTATCAAAATATATTGTACCTAAATTAAGTTTTAGAGATAGTTTACATGAAACAAGATTATTGCACACACTAAACAAAAGTATGGTCTCTTCTATTCTACCAATTAATATAGAGTAAGAATATTCATGGCAAAAGTATTGCACTCATCATTCTTTATCATAACTCATATCTTCTTAACCAACACACAATAAATAAGTCAATAGTATAAGTCATGTACACTGTATACTTGTGATGTCGTAGACATACACAGTAGCTCTTAAAGCTTTATTTTTTGTTGGCACAAATTCTAATTTTTTTAAAAATAATAAATAAATGAAATAAAGTATATTATATTGTATGAATAGACAGTGTAGGTGTTAAAATACATATAAAGAGATATTTGATTTTGTTGTAAATTTAAAATTATTCAAGACTAACACTTGAAGCTTTAAACACATAAAAAGTCTTTTCAATCTTGGAATCAAAGGAAAATGTCTTAGAACTTTGGCGGAAACCTTGTGAGCTTTTATAGAATCTTTAAGATCATTAGCAACTTCAGGATATTTAATCCACCTTGATGCTCCACAAATATGACATGAATCATTTTTCCCATGATCTTTCCAAAATAACATGCAATTGTTGGGACACACACCAATCTTTTTATAGTCTAAGCCCAAATCTTTAATCATAGATTTTGTTTTATTTAAAGAGACAGGGATGTTCAAATCAGGCGTAGCCTCTTTCAACAACTCTAAGAGAGCAGTGAACGATGCATTGCTCCATCCATGGAGACATTTCAACAAATAAATTCGAATAGTGAATGATAACGAGGAAAACTTTTCACAACCAGGATACAACTCTTGCTTTGCATCATGAACTAGTTTATAAAATTTCTTTGCATCTTCATTTAGACATTCATGTACTCCACCTCCATCAGCCACATCTTTAAATGTCTCAAATAGCAAGCCATCGATATCATCATGAGATGATGTTTCATTATCACTATCGTCATCAAGATCCATAAGGCTTTCATCTTCACCATGATAAATCCATTTAGTGTATCCCTTTACAAATCCTTTGCTACATAAATGGTCATACACTACATCTCTTACTTCCCAACTATCATTACAACATACAACACAAGGACACAAAACCTCTTCTTCTTCAACCATTCCTTTAGTAAACGCAATATCCAAAAAGTAATTCACACCATCCTTATAATCTTGACTGTGTGGAGGCAACTCCACCCAATCCTTCTTTATCATTTTTAGTTTTCTAAAATGAAATAAATTATATATATTACTATAAGTCTATAAGGGTATACTTCAAAACATAATAGAAGTGTTCATCATAACTATATCATAAAATAAAAAAAAAACTATTAACTAAAGGTGTTTAGAAAAAATACCATAAAAAAAGGTGTTGAGGAAAAACTGTTATCACTTAAAATATCATATATGTGTTTAAAATATTTTAGCCATCTTATATGTAATTAAGCTCTATGTCTTGTGTGCCTTGCTTTTCTGCATGGAAAACAGTGAATTTGAAGATGCTTCACAGAAAATAATTATCGTTGAAAATATTAAAATATTTTGACAACTAGTATTACTTATAAAGAGAATAATACATTTTTTAAAGTAGTATTGTGTAGTCCCAGAAAAATGCTATATTCATGCGACATATGCCAGCAACATTACTTGTCTCTATAAATATTAAAAATAATTGATTTTTTTGTATATATTATAAAACGGATTTTATATAACACATTTAAAATATATTAAACAATATGGAAAAAATTTAAAAATATAAATATTTTAAGAAATATATATGGATATGAATATAGATATTATTTATATTTTAAACTATGATTATTAAAATAAAAGTTAAATAAAATTAGTTGTAATAATTTAAAATGTAAAAATGAAGAGTTGATTTAAAGCTATTATTTCATTTTCACACTTTATCAAAATGAAAATATCACATGTTCATCACATGTTGAATCATGGGGGCATTAGTTACTATTTTAGAGTGTTTGGTAGAAAAAAAGTTAGTTTAGAGTTTGTGGGTCAAATGACAACTGCAAGTATGCAATATGAAAAGTGCAAACAAACACATGTATACATGTTTGGTGATTCATGTCAAACTAATTTAAGTCCATCATTAATCTCAAACGAATAGTATATATTTAATAAGTTTATTAACCCATAAAATTAACGACCTGAGGTTCCCCCATGATTCATAAACTCAAAGTAACAACAATTAATTAAGACCGAGTATAATATCTCAAATTTTACTCTCAGATTAATCGACTCATGTCGTATGACATCTCATTTTTTGCATCAACTAACTACTAACGGGTTACGTAGTTTTTTTGCTTTGCAGGAATCACGTTTGGTACACTTTAACTGTGGAGGGGCGAAATTGTCATTTATCCGTTGTTTGCTGCCGATTTAGGAAGCAGAATCATTGTCAGGAATCCATTGAGTAATTGGGATCTCCATTTTCGAGTTCTTTATTTTATTTGAGGATGAACAGAAATTCACGGTAATTTTGGCATCAGGATTTTTCAGATACGGTAATTAATTCAACGGGCCGAGATTTTATCGTCAGTGGGGTTCCGAGACATTTATGTTGTCATATGGGTTTGATGAGGTTGAGATATCAATTTGGTTCGGCTCAGGTCGATGCAAGAATCCATTCAGCGGAATTTGGTTTTAACGGACGTTTATTTTCTGTTCTTCTGCTATCTGCCAGTCAATTCTTAAAGTAGTGGAAATTTCGATTCATGTTTGGGTTTATGATTTCTGTTTAATTGTGATGTTGGGACGAATAAGTTCAGGATATTGGATTTAACTAGCAGAGACACCAAGTGAATTTTTAGCGCAGAGTAAAGTTCTGTTTTTGCTACTAATTGGATTTCTCTGGTTTCGTTCTGTTTTACATTGTTCAAAGCCGTTACCGATTTTATCATCAGGCGTGATTTAATTTGGGAATATATTGGAAGAATTGAAGTTCATATCAGTTATGTGGAACAGTTGGATTTAATCAGATATTTGAGGTGTTTGCCACAAAATTAAATCATGGAAAGGAGATTGGAAATTGATCTTGATAGAAAATATTTGAATTTTATTCATAATATTTTTTATTATTACAATTTATAAAGAGAAAATGTTTTTGAATAGAAATATTGTTGAATTTTTATTCATAAATATTTTTATTACAAATTTACAAAGAGAATTAAAATATACATTTTTCCTAAATTCCTAAAGTTCTTCATGCTTGATTTCTCCGACTCTTCAAGACTCGACTTTCTCATCGTACCTGCAAAACTGACACAAAACAGAGCTAACAAAGGGTTAGCGTGAGAAAATTATTTTGATGGGTCGACACCCTCAGAGTAATTTCATCACCGGGTGTCGGGAGGGTAATGGATTTCTCCGTCTCCAGCTCCCAAACCGATTCCCGACCTCGGTACCGATAGGTAATATCCGTTCTATTTTTCGGGACAGCCGAGAAGAAGAGAAAAAGAAGTTTTATGCTAAAAAATGATTTTTATGCCGAAAAAGAGGTTATTTGAGCCAAACAGGTCACTAATGGAATCAAATCCGATTCTATCAAGTAAATATATGGATATCCAGTCCAAATCTGTTCCATCAAGTAAATGTTCAGATTCAAAACAAATCAAAAAATCCAAATCTACAACAGAAATCCGGATAGCAAATCCAAACCGGATCCTGATTCAGTCCACCTGAAAAAATCCAATCCAATATCAGAAGTAATCAGAGCCAGACAAATCCGAATCAAGCATCATCAAAGATCCGAAAAAATCAAATCATATCCAACAAAATCAATGAACAAAAATCCAGAACAAATCAATGCCATATCAAAAGAATCCGAATCCAACATCTGAAAAAAGAAACAAATCCGAATTTCATCAAATAATCACAATCATCAAATAAAACGCAGTATCCAAGCCCACAGAAAAAGAAGAAGTTGTATAAAACGAAGTTGAAACCCTAACAGTCAAAGGGGGGACGGACCACAAAAAAAACGGCGGCCACAAAACATCAAAGATAAGAACGAACACAAAACGAAGAAGAACAAAACGGCAGCCGCAAATACATCAAGAACAAGGAACAAACTCACTAGAAACATCATCAGACGCCGTTACCATCAAGAAAAACTCACCAAACCCGCGAGTTTCATCATCGAACGGTCGAAACCGTAATCGCACAGACCATAGCCGCAAAAACAAAATCTCCGTTGGGTCTCAGAATTTCCATCATCATCCCTTCGAGAAAAGCTTCGAGGATCCACCATCAAGCGGCATCCGCGGAGGCCGTGAGCTTGCCGGAAGATTCACTACCACCGGCGGAGGTAGCAAAAACGGCACCGGAACCGCGAGCCGCCGACGAAGAGGTAAAGCCATGTTTTTTAACGGTTTCGTGTGTCTCAGGTGGAATCGAAAGAAGGAGACGACATGCAAGGAAAATGGAGCGAAAAAGCTCCAGAACAACATCCATGGCCGCCGGCGACGCCATGAAGAAGAAGAAGAAGTTGGATCTTTGGAAAAGAAAAACCAAAAATGAAATGCCAAACCTGCCTCTTTTCATTTATGTCTCCGTTCCATGTTTCTTGTCCTTTTCTATTTTTTTATTTCTTTTATTTTTAGTTTTTACTTATTTTATTTATTAGTTTATGTATCATTTGGGGTTTATATTTAAAAAACATAATCTTGTGATGATTTTGTTCACTAACCTTTATTTATTAGGCTAACCTCTTTCAATCTTAATTTCTAACACTTTCGCGTTCTAAATGTTTTCGACGTCGTTCTGTTTAATATCTTCGTATAATCTTGTGATGATTTTGTTCACTAACCTTTTGTTTTTGCATTTTCTCTTTTTCAGGATTTTGTAATTTATTTAATAATATTGTTTGTATTTATTTTCATCCATGGTTGTATTTTATTTTACAAACATCCTAATGTAATTTATTTATTTCGCATTATTCATGTTCATCATAATTTCGCCTTCCGAAGGATTAGGTCTAGCAATTTGACCGCCGAGTCAATAACCCTAACCTTTGACGTTTTCAAACCCTGATACTTTTAGGCGTCCCGCCGCAGACAGTTTTACCCTTTACCCTAACCTTAGGTCAAAGAGTCGTCGTACTCTGTTTTAGGGTTTCCCGCCGGGGAATCCCTAATTTAACCCTGATTTCAACTTACAATTTCAACGTAGAGATTGGAATCTCCGCACTCCACGTAAGCGTGTCCTTAAGATACGTTTATTCCCATTGAAACCTTGACCACAGTCAAGACGTTTCTAACCTCCCTTTCGAGGGGAACCACAATTACTCTGATTCCATTCCCATCAGGATATGTAGGCACAAGATGCGATGTCTTGCCGAGTAAACTTAGAAATAACCCCTTAGGTATTTTCTTTAATTTTTAATCCCTTTGTATATACTTTAAGGAAATAATAAAGCAAAAATAGTGAACTTGAACAAAGGTTCCTGTAGGGTACTACAGAAGTTTAGGATGCTAGTACCTTCCCTAAACTTAACCAACCCCTTACCTAGGTCTCTCCCCGCATTCTTTACGATGCAAAAATAGGTTTTTCCTCTTTTGAACTTTTCCTTCGGATAAATCAAAGAGTGGTTATGAATTAAAGATGCGATTCAAATTAATTAATAATTTGATATCCAATTTCCCCCGCAACAGAAAATGGCGACTTCACTGGGGACTGTTTCCTAAAGTTTTGAGGGTTATCCCTAACTTGTTCATATTTAATATTTTTTCTTTATTATTTAAATGTATATATATTGTACCTTGGTTGGATATTGGTTCCATGTGTTGTGAGATAAGTCCTACACTCTGACTTGAGTGATATTATTATAGGATGGTGATATATTCGACGAGGCTTATAGGGGGTGAGTCCCGACCAAGATGACTTGAGAATCACCGCTCGGTTGAGACCCTTTCGAAGATGGTTCGGTTGATCGAGTGTAGTCGTGAAAACTTTTACTATTCTCGATTGGTGTCTATGATTATAAGGACCTTAGTACCTTAACACCACCTTGGCCTTATTTAGAACGTAGTGCGGGAACTGTGTGGGAATAGTCCTACAATGGTTGCTACAAGATACTACATTCAAAAGAGGTTCTCTTGAGAATATTATCGGCCTCCGAGTCAGTCGGAAGGTTGATAATATCCGAAAGATGGACTGATGACTTTGGCCACTTCTTTAGAACCTTGTTCTGCAGG